TTTTTTTTTTTACCTGACACTCTGTTTTACCTGACACTTTTTACCTGACAAACATTAATCTGTAAGTTACAAAGAGTCCGTTTTACTATGTGTCCATGAAGGCAAAAAAATACGAAAACAATATGGATGAATGGCAGTTCTTGATCCTGATCTCATGAGGCACCTCAGCACAAAGCAGAGGGCTGCAGAGAGTCCGGGTTGGTTACTGCATGGCATTCAGGTCCACAGGCACGGCCCGGGACAGAGGCATGGCTGTCGGACGCCTGCAGGTCGGATCACCAGATCTTTGACCACCTCCACGGTCCCAAACAGAGGGTACAGTTCCTCTGTGAAGTTTTCATTGTAAGTGTAGATGTGTGACCGCTTCTCCACATCGTAGAAGGACAGCTGGCCCAGCTCATAGTCCAGATACACCCCGATTTTTCTGGGCATCAGATTTTGGGGTAGAAGGGAAGCGGGCACGGTCAGAGCTTTCAGATCCGTGCCTCTCTCCAGCCGGATGGTAAGGTACCCCGTGTCTGTGTTCAGGGAACGGAAGCCCTGCCTCACAGCGGATGCTTTGGCAACACCCAGACGCCAGTCTCTCTCGCCTACCTCCACTTCCCAGTAGTGGCGTCCGGAGGCGTAGGCCTCCTTTCCCACAGCACACCACCATCCGTCGAAGCGCCCCTGACAGGGTGGGACAACGCGGCGCTCCAGACCGCAACGCATGCGTTTCTCATCATCAGAGATGAGCAAGTTGGGGTTAGCAGACTCTGAGTCCAGGGTGATATCCTCTGTAGAGCCAAGCAGCAGAGAAAAGCAATTAAAGGCTGAATTTAAACTACCTGTGATCAATCAGGTAAATGTTTTTCATACCTGATGCCTCGCAAATCCAGTTCCAAACTGTAAAGAGGAAAAAGACTCGTTACACCTGATAAATGTTAGAATCCAACTAGTTATAATCTGATGTTTAACCTGCTCAACCCTGCAAATAGCATTCATTTTATGGACTTCATGGAGTCTTGTGTTCACAGACTTATACATTTCCTTCAATATTAGTTCATAATTGATAAGATTTTGTTTGTCTGGACCTGCAGCTGAGCCGATAAGTTTTCCTCGATAAACTAACAGTAACTTGTCTAAAACAACCAGCAATACCTTGGTTAAATAAGCATACCGAAAGAGCAATATCCTTAGTTAATATACCAGCAACACCCTAACTACAAATATAACACATTTTGCTCCTTTAAATAGGAAACTACATAAATTTTGGATGGTATCCATTTGAGCTAAGTACTAGCACAAACACTAGCTTAGCCATTACTGAAGTCATCTTTGTCCAAATAAATATTGCTTAAAAAAGAAAATAAAGATACCCTATTAAAATAGACAGTATTCATCTAGGACAAGGGTCTTCAACGTTTTCCAGGCCAAGGACACCAAACTGATGGCGAGATGGAGCGGGCACCCTCTAATTATATATATTTTATGAAATTGTGTTCTATCAAACTGGTCCTATAGTCACTATTACATATGGAGTAATGTAACAAAAGTAATGTCGCCCTGAGATTATTAAATAGTATTATTAATTTCTGTTTCTGATTCCTTGCTGATGAGACAGGTGTTATGAATGAAACGGTGCCCAGCTTGAAAGAGCTCCTGTGTGTCGCTGAATGTGTGCATTGATAACTGAACACACTACAGTGTGTTGAAGTCATGTTAATGTGTAATCAAAAACTTTTCAATTAGTGGAAAAAATTTGCAGGGGGGAATATAAAAAAAGTATAATCCAAACTTTTGTGACCCCCATGCGGTACCTCCAAGGACCCCCTTGGGATCGCAGAACCCCTGTTCAAGACCTCTCATCTAGGACCAAGAAGCACACTATCCTTCATGATATTTAATGCTGAAGGTTATAAAGTGGAATCTGTCAGGTTAACCTACCTGGTTGAGGTTCCTCTGTCATAAGCTTGGCTCCTCCACCAAGAACCAAGGGATAATCTCTTATTTTAATTCATAATACAATAAGCTGCTGGATAGTTCTCACGCATAATTATATAGTTGTAAAAAATCATCCTCATAGGATCAGGATTTAAGACATACAGTATTTGAATATTTTCAAATAGGAATGATCTCCTTTTTTAAAATAATTTTCAAATCCCCAGCTTACAGAAACGTCTGCAACGATAACTTGATTAATCATTTAATAGATCCACACTTCCCAGAGAGGCAGCCTAAATAGACAAATAATCTATGGGTTTTTTTCCCCTTTCCTCTTTCTATTATGTTACTGAAACCATGACTGAACTGCACCGGATCAATATGCCACATCTAGTCGGAAAAACCTTAAACACCTCCTGGGGAAAAAAAGTGTTTCCGTTTTTTTAGGTATATTTGGATTTTGCAATCAACATATCAGATAATCCAGTCGGGCAACCTTTTCTGTTTTTTGGTTTTTGCTGAGGTCTCTTTTTTTTTTTTTTTTGCATCCTTATATGATTGTATTAGGATTTTTATTCAACAGTATTGACTGTAGACATTATTCCATTCGCTTTCACAACCCACATGTGAACTTACCACCGTGTGGGATGTAGCGGACTGCATCTGAAAGAAAAACATCAAAACATTATTTCAGTGAGACAACCCTAATTTGTTGTGGCTGTATTTTAGCAGCTTTTATGCAGAAGTTAAACAAGAATAGCTGCACAATGTGAGCATCCTGATCCAGCTTTAATTTTAGCTTTGACATGTGGAGATTGGTTTCCTCTCGACTCACCAATCCTCTGGCTCCTCTGCTTTTTCACCAGCCACTGTTTAGTCACATCCTCCTACACACAGAAACATAAAGCGAAATCAGGCCAAGGTGAACTGGACAGTCAGATAAAGAGATTAGCATGACTTGATATCATGCAGCACACATACAGAGTTTTATCCCTCTTAAGAGCCTGTTACTACTGACCTGAAAACAGATCTGCTGTGTTTTCACTGTATCTGGCTCAGAATAAAACTCAGTAGCTACACATTCAAGCAGGATGTAGAAAGAGAAACAAACACTGACACCCGTCCAGACCTTTATTGGGCTGTCAGCATTCAGCACAGCCAGCATGATGAGCTCCATGGCTGGGAGCAGGTTGGGCAGGCGGCCTCTCTTCCACTGGAATTCCAGATCATCCAACATCATGAGCACCGGCTCACCTGGCCAGACAGGAGCCTAGTGACAACAAACCAGAGACCAGGAATGCTGTTAGCTTCAGATATGACCAGCAGATTATCAAGGTTTATGGTAATCATCTTGATCAGACACATTCAGGGAACTGGGTCAGACTTTAATCACTTTGACTCAAAGCATTTGTGTTGAACATTCACCTGAGCCCTGCTTTTAATCTCCCGGGTCCAGTCCATGATGACCCGTTTGTACGGCCCCATGTCGTATTCGCCCTCTGACTCCAACATGCAGAGAAGGTGCCCCTTCCAGTCCCTCTTTGCTGGTTTTTCGTACTGGTACTCAGATGGCATGATCTTGTGCTGAACGAAAGACCAGGAGACATTTTTAGTATTTTGTTTTGGCTGGCAAAACGAGCGTTGACGCCTCGCTGGTACCTGCACCCTCTTTTCCAGCACAGCAGCCCAGTCCACGATGAAGTCTCTGCAAATGCTGGCAGACCAGATGTCCTCACCCGTCCAGATGTGGCTGAGGATGTTTGATCTCTGAGAAATGAAGGAATAAGAGTCAACCCCTGGTTCTCCCTTAATGTCAGCTCCATATCCATGGAAAAAAGAACTAAACCACATTCTGCAGAATTAGTAGCTGCAAATTACCACTATTTTCAGTTGGTTTTCTTTAAATTTCGACCTTTTATGAATAAGAATTGTGGTGGGAATAATAATTACTCTTTTGAATCAAACCAATTTAAACATGTCATATTCTTTTATTAGACATTTTTGGGTGTAAACATGGCGCTACCCTCACTCTCTGGTTAATTAAAGTCATTATAGGGTGAGATTTTATGCAGGGCTGCACCTCAGAGGGAGCGACAGGAAAGGCTCACCTGGCAGATCCTGTTCAGCTCCCGACCCAGCTCCATAATAAATAACTGACTTTCCACCAGCGGCTCCTTCTTGTCCTGCTTCACTCTCTTGCGAGATTCCTTGAAGAGAAGCAGAAGGTCATGACAGGTCGTTTGTAGGCAATATTTAGATTCTTTGTAAGTGAAAAAAAGAAAGTTAAAAAATAAACCCCAATTTATGATGTTTACAAATCAAAAACAACTGACAGCATGGCTTTTGTTGTTTTGATAGTTATTCCCACTGCTATTGTCTTTAAAAATAGTGTTTTTACTACTATAAAAGATAAAGAGAATGCTATATTTTCACTTTTATCTTTATCATAATAAAAATCAGAAATCATGAGGAAATTTTAAGTCCAGGTCGCCTATCCCGAAAGTTTATGCATGTGCATACAGGTCAGTGAAGGTCAGTCGTCCTGACAGCGGAGCGCCATACCTTGAGTCGGATCTTGAGCTTCTTGGCCGGCTCGATAAGGAACTGTAGGCAGCCTTTCATCATGCTGGCGGCTGGAGAGCGAGGCCGATGCCCTCTGCTGCGATAATAAAACAGCTTTAGTACACTGGCACACATCCTGTGTGTAGCTGGGGGGGTTGGAGCCCCCCCCATCACCAAGCTTTAGTGGCAAAGTGATGAGAAAGCACAAATAGATTTATTAGGAGGTGTGCAAAGAAACGCAGGAGCACTGCAGAACTTTGTGCGCTCAAAGCCCACAGAGGGCTCATTATCAGGCACCCTGAGCTGTCATTACACAGAAGGGTGTGGGGGGGGGCAGAGGACCGCCCACTCGGTTCAAACAAGACCACAGAAATATTACAGAAACTGGCCAAAAATAACGCATAGTCACTCTATTTCCTGACATGTGTGGGTCGATGGATCTTGATCCGCAGCTTGAAATTGCAACTTTATTTCCCTGGAGTTGTGAGGCAGCAGTAGAGAGCTGCTGCACAACTCTATGAGGAGGAGAAGGGAGGTGTGTGGGGGGGTGTTGGACCAGCTTGCTGTTGATTCAGCATGTCAGTCCGCCCCTGCATGCCAGGTTTGTTGTGCTGAGGGGATTTGCAAAGCAGCATCTAAAAAGATGCAGCTGAGGATATTAATGTGGACTTAAAAAAAAAAAAAAAAACATGCATCTGATTTAAAGAAAGAGACTTGAGGTATTGCAGCAATCTATCACTTTTTATTCACTCTAAACACCAACAGTATGCAATGAAGGATGCATGCCTGCTTATGCGTGAAATCATGGCAACGTGATGCAGCTGCCTGATAAACTGAGGATCTGCCACTAAGTCGTTGTCTGAACAGTGTGTTTATTGGTGCCTGAGTGTTTAAGTGGCAAAGGAGCTGGAAGATTAGAGGAAAATCCAGGATTAACGCCGGTGACACTGCAGCACAAACACATGTAGTGACTTTCTGTAGGAGTAAACCCTGCCAACAAGTCCTGCATCAATATGGAGATGTTTATATAATAATGAAATAAATAAACCAAAGCGAACACGGCGGCATATATGGCGTCAAAATGGAAGAAAAAAATTAGTTATAGCGAAATTCTGCCATTTTCTTGAAACAATAACATCTGTTTTCATGTGTGACGTTTATTTAAATATTATTTATTCTTACCTTGGTTTTATCTGGAGAATGCGTTGCCTTCTGGGATCCCGAGGGTCTCCTTTGTTCAGATGTTTTCAGCAAAGACTGATTAAATCAGAACCAGAGCTCCGCCATCCTTCACAGGAGTCGCTCAGCTGCTGGGGGCGCGAGACAGAGCGCGCCGCGCGCCCTGATCTGACACCGCCTAAGAGAGGTGCAGTTCCAGGGAGCTGCCGCTAGAGGGAGCCGAGAACAGGGATGTTCCCAAATGAACCTCTGTATTATGACAAAGCGCTTAACATACACATTGATTATTATAGGTCTATTGCATTTCGCTTGTTTTAAAACAAAAAAAATAAGTAAATGTAATAAAATAAAAATGACAGTTAGAGGTATTTCTGGAAATTTTAATCGGAATTACATCAGGCTGTGTCTGGAATCTGGATAACTGAAAGATATTAAACTGCTTTTCAAATCCAGCCTGTGCCAAAAACACTCTAGTTTCCATGCAAAATCCTTGTGCAGATCCTGCTGCAGTGAATCAATAAAAACTCTGAGCTTTAATATGAGTTAAGGAGGGAGTAGGTTGTCTTATGATGAGGATATTCTCCTTCACATATCTAAAAAAAAAAAGAAAAAAAAAAAGAAATCTAAGTCATTTTTTTTCTTGAAATAAGCACATTCTCCCTTCTTTGCTGCAGCAGATCTGAAGGTTTGATTCATCCAGCTGACTCTATAAAAGAACCTTTACACCAGCGGTGTCCGACCTTATTGAGATAGGACAAAATCACCAACAAAACAAAAGGTAGATTTCTTTGAAATAAGAAATATAGAAATAATTCTGGTTTTGTTTATTACTTTGTTTACTTGTTTCTTAACTGGCCATTAGACATGAAAAATAGAATTAAGACCTAAAAAATGATATGAATGAAATATTACCAGTGCCAAAAAATGTGCTCTGTTTTTACTCAAAGTAAAATGTAGGGTTTAAATAAATTACTCAGTTAAGAGTAAAAAAAAGTATTTGGTAAGAAGGCTACTAAAATGAAGACTGCTAGACTTCCTCATCAACAGACCTCAGTCAGTCCAGGTCGGACAGAACACCCCTGATGTAATCACCCTGAGCACAGGCCTGAGCCCCCTCCTGTTCACTGATGACACATGACTGCGTCCCCAGGTTCACCACCAATCACATCATGAAGTTTGCAGACGACACCACAGTGGTGGGCCTCATCAGAGATGACAACAACCAGGGCTACATAGAGGAAGTGGAGGTGGACTGGTGCAGAGATAAGAGCCTGATCCTGAATCTGGAGAACACGAAGGAGATCATCCTGGACTTCAGGAAGAACCGGCCTAACCACGCTCCACTGGTCATCAACAGCTCAGCTGTAGAGGTGGTCAACAGCACCAAATTCCTGGGGGTGCACATCACAGACACCCTCACCTGGACTGTAAACACCACCTCACTGGTCAAAAAGGCACAAAAACACATGTACTTCATGAGAAGTATGAGGAGAGCCCACCTGTCCCCATCCATCCTCACCACCTTCTACAGAAGCACCATAGAGAGCGTTCTGACCAGCTGTCTCACTGTGTGGTGTGGAGGCTGCAGCACCGCAGACTGGAAGAAGGTGAGAAGAGTGGTGAGAACAGTAGAGAGGATCATCGGGGCTCCTCTTCCGAGCCCATAACATTATAAATTGTCTATGGAAAGAGGTGTTGCAGCATTCAATGCAGGTCCAGCAGATTACGAAACAGCTTCTTCCCCACGCCAGTCAGACAGCTGAATGTTCAGAAACTCTAAATCAGAGGTCACAGATTAACAGCCCACGGCGCAGATCCAGACCCACCTGCTGGCTTAAACAAGCCCAAACTGATTTAAAACATTTATAAATTACTATATATAGTCTGACTGTAGTTTCTACTTTCACTTGTGCCGCTTCTACTTTTAATACGGTAAAGCCGTCCAGAGCGCCCAGCACCCGGCTGCACGTGATACAAATTAGCCAATGAGCTGCTGTCAGTCTGGGTTGCTGCTGCTGCTACTTTTAGACACAGACCTGTGGAAAGCCGGGCGATGAGAAAGAAGGAGAAGATGATGAGAAAAAGAGAGCAGAGAAAGCGTGGACTGCTGGAAGAACTGTAGTGATCTGGTCAAAAAAAGTGAAATAGCGTGCTCAAAGATGACCCTGAACATTTAGAGGATGTTTGGCTCAACCATTTAAAAAGTCAATGTATAACATGGATGCATTAACACCTCATTTTATTTCAGTGTTAAATTCTGTTTAAAGTAACAGATTATTAATTAAAAATGTCTCCTTGTTGTTGATTTTCTTTATTCGGACCCTGCTGTTTTTTTATTGGTTGCCCCTGCTCCAAACCATGTCACAGTCTCTGCATCAAACTGCACCATGTTTTTTTCTCCCAATGGAAATGTCATGAGAGCTAAACAAAATAAAAGTCTTAAAAGTCTAAGTTTAAAATAACTAGTAACTGATCTACTACCGATAATGATAACAACAGATTGAATATTTAGAAAATTATGTACATTTATTCAAAGAATAGGATAAAAATCAACATATAATACACATTAATAAAATCAAAATAATTGATGGAATGGAAACTCTTTAAAATAATTTTTTTTGTTATAAAACTCAAAAATCATTTAACCAATAAGCCTTGAGTACAAATAAGAAGAAAGTGTGTCTCTCAGTGGTGCATATTTGTTTAAAACAAGCTTGTTTTTATTAAGTTGAGTTACTCACGATAGATGAAGAAGCCACTAGCCAGACATTTTACTGAACTAAGAGCAGAGGCGTAGCTTGAACATTTTTATAAGGCAATAACCTATGTACACTGAGGGGTGGCCGACAGCGGATCGGCACCAGAACCTCAGGTTCAGTCTAAACTGTTCCAACAGGACAATTAACGAGCAAAATATCAATATTTTCTAAATAAAGAAAAACTACATTTTCCTACAGCCTTTGCTAACAAATAGATGCATATTTTTAAACACCTGTCATTTCTAGATGAAAGGTATAGTGGATAAAATTCATTCCGTTTTGAGTTCTGGGGCGTAAATCTTTTCCTTGGTCATTACTTACCTACTTGTATCAATAAACATTCTGCATAAAATGTATATTTACAATCACTAATATCTATATAGATTTATTATTTGATAAGTTTTTATTAATATTGTTATTTATCTATGATTTCACAAAAAAGAGCATGCATTCTGTACTAATCATCTTTGATGTTAGTATATTGATGTGTTTAATTAACCACAAAAAAAATACAATGTTTTGAACATTTACTTGGGAGTATTACTGCTGCCACCATCTGTGTTGGAGGGAAAAAAACGGTAGGGGTGGCTACAGGGGTGGCCAATGGCTCTGTTCGAATTTAAGGTTGCATCTTCCAAGGAGGCGGTCTACCTGGCCTGGATCCTTTGAAGTCCTTGAAAATAAGAAGGCCAGAAGATCTTTGGATGTGAATTC